GGACAGCTTCCTCACGTTCAGGGATGGCAAACCTATAGCACACGTGCCCAGTGTGGCACGCGAGCTAATTGTGCTGGCATGTGTGTCATGACCTCATGATCCACAGCATCGCTGGCCAACCAAAGTCTGGTCCATTTTCAATAAGTGTCTAGGGTAAGTTTAAAAGACTGGTTAAAACATCACCAGTTTACTGGGACATATAAACGGGTCACCGTAAAACACTGAGAACTAACATTCTCTATATACAACTGATACTTTCATCAGAAGAAAGAGCTTCAACTATCAGCTCAAATAGTCACATCGATGAACTTTAACTTAAACACAGCTTAAATCAGCTATCACATCAGCTATTAAAGCAGCTAACACATCAGCTATTAAATCAACTATCACATCAGCTATTAAATCAGCTATTAAATCAGCTATCACATCAGCTATTAAATCAACTATCACATCAGCTATTAAATCAGCTATCACATCAGCTATTAAATCAGCTATCACATCAGTAACGGCTAATACTTAGGACTAGCTGGTACGAGGCTCCAACCTAGCACAGTGGTAGACTAACCCAAGTAACAGTATGGAGATCTGATACATAAATATCGCGTGAGACATCTATCACGTACTGCTACACAATAATAATCTATGACCCTCAGTTGCTTAAAATCACCTTCCACCTGACTTACTGATATATCAGTTAGCCTGATCCATTTACAACAGGATTTCTCTTATAATATATACCTTATTAATATATAGGACAACCCAAGGACTGGATTTTTCACGTCCGTTTCTCTGGGAAATCAGGAGAGTTGTGACTAGCTAACGGCCATGTCAGCCGAGAATGACTTTGTTGCCAGCAGGGCAAGTCACTCCAACCTTCCTCTTTTGCTTAACAGAAGCTCCAGACATAAATATTTACATCTAGTTCATACTGTACCTAATCTGATATATACGTGAACAAATCCAAATCCGAAGAAATGAACATGAATTCATTTGATGCATCACGCTATTGTGATTTCTGTGTGTACTGATATATACATAATACAATATATATGCAAAACCTCAAGATATATAAGAATATATAAAAATATATGTGCTAAACACATAATTTCTATGGACATCTGACTGCAGACGATTCACGAAAGGTCAGGGGGGGGGAAGGGGGGTATATGGGAGGAATTCTAGCAATTACCGATCGATCGATCGTTTACGACCTGAACTACCATATATTCCCATACCTCAAGTATACAGGTGTATAAACAACCATAAGCTAATCCACTACGGGCTCACCATAGCCCGTGCTACTTGGAACTTCTCGTTTCAGATAACGAATCTTTAACAACAACAATATTCTGCTATTCCACAAAAGAATACTAATACAAGAGTATGCTGTTAGTAATGTGACTAATAGTTTGACCGCAACATACACTTACACCATATATACACTTATACACACACTTACACAGGTGTAAGTGTGTGTGGTCATAAGAATGTGGTAAGCCTGCCGACCCATGATTCTTTAAACTCTTCCTCTTAAAATAAATGCACAATTATCTAATCGACAGCTGACCTCTCGAAACTAATTTTTATGGCAATTGATGATACATCCAGCATGACTGGTCAAAAAACACGTTTTGTAAATGTGTTTACAAAATATGTTGGACATCTACTGGTTGAATTTTTACACGAAGAGGCTTTGTGTGCAAAACTTGGCTATAAGAAGTGGTGAAAACTGTGAAAAAGATTATTATATTTCTACGTATGCTTTAAAAGAAAAAGACAACCTCAGATGAGCCAATCTTTTACTGAACCAAGCGAACTTAGAGTACACAGGAGTAATTATGTACAACAATGTTCATTGGATTAGTAGAGGCTATGTCCTTAGGCAGTTTGATGAGTGTGTGAAGTTCATCTGTTTTTTGACCAATGAGAAATGTTCTTGACAAGAATTATGTGACGTAGGGAGTTAAAGATTGAGATTTTCTATAAATTTCACCTTACATTTAAATTACTTGAACACCATAACAGTCCGTGAAATTAAACGGAAAATGTTTAAACGTTATATCGACAATAACACATTTCAATCCTAAAGCTAAAGATAAAAAAAATGTCTGATCTTGAAAAGCAAGTTTCGAGCATCGTGATTTAAATCCTGATCAATTTTATTTTAAAATCAACTAAATTCAGGTCATTTTGAAGAAACTGAAAATTTCATAAAGTGAGCAACGATGTATCATTAGACAAATTGAATTTGGAAACGTTTCAATGGACTGATTCGGATAATTTTCAGATGCATTTGACAGAATTACAAAGCAGCTCAATTTGTCGACTTAAAGAGCTGAAGACGAAAATATTGAAAATTATCAGTTAGTGACGAATCTTTTAACTGAAAACTCTCAATATATCATTATTAGCAGTATTTACATCGACATATTCACGTGTTTCATTGTTTTTAATGATGAACTTTGTCATCTATAATCTGTTGTTCAAGATCCGCTACCTAGAACAAAGAGTTCCACGTAGCACGGGCTATGGCGATCCCGTAGTTGTATCTATAGTTATAGTAGTAGATTTAAAAAAAAGAAAAACGACTGCTGCTTTGCTTTTAACACGACTCAGTGCAAGGGAGGCACAAACTATCATTTATTGGCGCAGCAGTAAAAATCTTCGAGTAAAATTACTTTACTTTCGATTAAGTTTTGAGTTGAATAATATGAACCAAAGTTTATGATCTCACGTTCACATTTTTTTTTATAAGCTAAAATACTATTATGTTATTTTGCAACTCTTGTTAACATTAATAGTTTGTTAACCGACTTTCTAAATAGCTTTCATTGACTTCAATCTCCCTCTGTTATACTTTGTATTAGTATAATATACTTATATTAGTATAATAAAATAAAATATAATTTTTTATTAGACCAGGACGGAGGCTACCTTGCTAGTCCTGATTGGGGACTAGTTTCCTAAGAACTATTGCTAGTGACTATCTTTGCAGAGCGTCTTACAAGAAACTGTTGGTTTTGCAACATTAGTGTTGCAGTTATTAAAGAAATGCAACAAATTTCTTTCATGACAAGGTACCGACTCTAAGATGCTTTGGCTTTAATAGCTAGGATATACCGTTATGTTTTAATAGCCGGATGCCGTTGCTAGGATATCTTGTTATGTTCGTAGCTATCACCTACCGTTTTCAGATGATATCTTTAGATCACGTTTCGACTGTTCAGTATTTACAAGAGACAGATACGAGGGAGGAAATAGATTTAACCGAAAGATAAATATATTTATCGATATTAATTGAGAGAATTGCGTGTGTGTGTGGGGGGGGGGTTGAAGGTCTTTATGTGGGTGATGAAGATTGTTTGGGTGTGTGTGTGTGAGTGTTTGTGTTGTGTGTTTCAAGAAAAAATAATGTTTAGCGAACATATTTTGGTAAATGTGCATCGGTCTCTCACTCTCTGTCTCTGTCTCTCCTCTTGACTCGTGGGAATTTCTCACCTGGTCGTGGCGACAAGAATTTGACGTCAATAATGTGACGTCAAGAAACATAGTTGGCAATGTTGTTTGGGACCCCAGCGCCCGACGTTACTAACCCAGGGAAAAATGCCTATTACAAGAGGTGTTCGAGAGAGCTTAAGGTAGCGAGGCTTGAGGGAAGGAATGTATATTTATATATATATATATAGTATAGAGGGTTATTGAGTACTCAACCACAGATTGTGATTGACGTTCATTTACAACAGCATATCTATCTATCTCTCTAAACATCATTTTGAGGCAACAGAACCTACGTTCTGCTGACTCCCAGACACCTGCCTTAACCGACTCAGCCATGATGGTACATAAGTCGACCAACCCAGAACTCTATTGAATTCACTGGGAAGTTCTGGTGGCCCCAAACCGGAGCCCAACCAGGGATTTACAATCAACACGACTAAACATGAGAGTACAAGAATTAAGGAAACAGCAGGGCCTACAGGAGACAGCTATTCATACTCACCCAAACTAATTCTTACATATATCTAACCTACGCTTGAAACAATCAATTTCATTCCTATCATGTTACCCAGTAATCTGTTCCACAAATCAACAACCCTAATCCCAAACCAGTATTTACCCAGGTCTTTCCTGAATCTAGACTTATCTTATTTATATCTAATCTAGAGAGACCTGGGGTGGAGAGAAACAGAGACCTCTTCCAGGGTTTCCATACCACAAACTCATTCTATGCCACAAACAAACTCATTCTATGCCACAAACAAACTCATTCTATGCCACAAACAAACTCATTCTATGCCACAAACAAACTCATTCTATGCCACAAACACTCATTCTATGCCACAAACTCAAGTCATTTAACCAGAGTTCAACAGGTAGAAAAATCTTTTGACTTTCTCTGCAAGGCTCAGTCATGCGCAGGTATGCATTACACATGCGCAGTTGGTCATTAGTGTGCAATTACTCATCATGAGAGCATGAGGCAGCTCGGGTCCTGAAGCTATGGAACGGGAGAACGGTGAGTGAGTGAGTGGGGGGGGGGGAGGGGGGAGGAGGTACTAGATGAGTGCAATGAAGGTGGAGATGAGTTTCTATAATGAACACACACACATTGATTGATTGGTTGATTGACAGTTGAGAGGCGGGACCCAAGAGCCGAAGCTCAACCCCCGCAAGCACAACTAGGTGAGTACAAAGAAATTAATCGAATATGCTATAAATATATATATATATATATATATATATATATATATATATATATATATATATATATATATATATATATATATAATCTATATATATATACACACACAATTGCAAACCAGATACAATAATACACACACGCATAAACGATCGTAAATACAATAGTAAATACAGATACAAAATACAATTAATTTGCAACACGGATATAACGATGTAATACACAAAAAAATATTGCGCTGCATCACACAGTTCAACGCCCAACAGAATGTGAACTAACATGTTAATGTGACTTTTTACAGGTTCACCAGTTGTCTTCGGGCCGGGATGGAGCTGCCCTTGGCCGCCCACGAGAACAACGGTCCCCGAGCCCACTACGCCAACCCCATCTATTACCAGGGCTTTGAACGCGTCCAGGACCGGTTGAGGACTGCCCATGCCGCCTTCAGCAAGAGCCCCCACGCGGAGAACGGCCCTACCCACCTGTTAGAGGGCATCGTTGCCGATTCGTCCCAAGCTGTCACTCCTCCCGGCGGTTTGATAGGTCCTTCGCCTATCCTCGGATATAGAGGCGTGGGCTTTGGCCATCCTGGGGCAGAGTCCTATCCCCTCCGGAGTCCTAGTTTGCCTGCTAGCCACGGATTCTTGGCTAGTTTCACGCCTATGGTTAGACATGGGTCTCTTGCTAGCCACGAGTCGCTCGCTAGCCGCTTGGAGGTTGATAAACACGATTCTACTAGTAAATATAATTCTATATCTAGACATATATATGCATCAACATCTACACGTGTGAACTCCGAGAGCAAGCAAACACCTATAGTTAACAATAGTCCCGCCGGGAGCCATGTGTCTGGTGATAGACATTCCAACAGCCAATCGTCTATGTCCTCCCTCAGCCACGCTAGATATTCACTTACGCTTGATCTATCTTCCCCTAGACATTCAGCCATATCTCCCTTGAGTCATCCGAGATATTCACCCATGACTACTGTGAGTCATACTCAACATTCACCTATCACTGCCCTAAGACATTCACCCGAGACTTCACTTAGTCCCATCAGAACTTCTCCAAATACCCAAAGTCCCATCAGAACTTCTCCAAATACCCAAAGTCCCATCCGAACTTCTCCCGCTACCCAAAATCCCATCAGAACTTCAGCCATAGTTACCCAAAGTTCCACTGGTCACTCATTAATGGCAAACTCTCTCTCGGCCGCCCCGAGGCACAGACTAACCAATCACAATATCGACACTCAGGTCCTCCTCGAGTCCTGGTCTGAGGGTAAGCCAAATCCTCCAGCTTTGGAATCGGTGGAAGAACCTCAAAATCTCGTCAGAGGGCAGAGCGAGACGAGCCTCTTGGATTCAAGCTATGCCCCATCGCGGAGATATCTTGAAGACCCTCTAGATGTCAAAGAGGAAGCTTTGTCTGTTCCTCAAGTCCTTCCAAGTGTCAAAGAAGAATCTCGGTCTGTTCATCAAGTCCCCCCGAGTGTCAAAGAGGAAGATGTCCTGAAGTTAGAAGACCTCGCGGAGATTAGAACATTGCATGAATGCAATGTTGCAATCACCGACAATTCGGAACCGGTGGGAGAGAGGATGATCAAAACAGAAGAACTGGGCAATGTTTATTCTTGTTTCATACAGAAACGTGCCAGATTCCTGGTCAGCACGCCGCTCTACAAGACTCTGGCTTTGCCAGATCGTCAGAAACTCCTCCACACAGCCGTGGCCATGAGCACCTACTTCACAGGCGCCCATCTCATAGACACTACCAACTACACCTGGAAGAACAACAAGGACGCCGCAGAGAAGAGTTCGCACGTCATGTCTGTCAATTCGCTGAGACCTGTCCTCTCCCACGACCAGTTCGTATTCATGATGCGTTACTACATGACCTATTCTCCTTTCTTCTCCGACCAGACGGTCACGCTGCTAATGCAGGTTTTGTCGTTATTTTACCCGGAGTCGGGGCTAACGGAGCCTCGGGTGGTCGAGAAGGGTCGGCTTCACTACATTCGTCTCCTTTCTCGTTACCTGATATCCACCCAGGGTCTCCAAGCGGGCCAAGAACACCTGAAAATACTCATCGAGAGTCAACAGGAGGCTCGGCAGCTGATGAACATTCTTCAGCACGTTGATTTGGCTCCCCGAGGACCAGGGAATGATGAAGTGGCCTCGAAGAAGATTCTGATGGAGGGAATACAGTTGGTCTTCGAAAAGGCGAGAGAAAGCTTGACCAGAGTACCGAGGGAGAGGCAGCAAGATGGATACCATACGGACGGTTCGGGAAGCGAGCCAGACCGGTGTGGCCCTCAAGACGAACTCAACACATCGGAATCTCCGCCGATAGAGGATAAGGACCGGATAGACTTTATCCAGCGGACGCTAATCCGTTTGGCTGACTGTGAAGACCCTCAGATCCTGGCGGAAGCTCGTCGTATCCTACCGACTGATCTTATCCTAAAGTTCTTCCAACTATAAGCGAGACCGTCCCCTCGACGAGAAGTCGTAAAGCTCAACTAAGTTTAATCTATAACTTAAAGCTTCAAGAGGAAGTATAACCCTACCTTCCTCTCTGCTAGAAAGCAGCCCAAACAAGCTAAGGTTATTCCCAGGCCTAGACAACAGCCCAATAGGGGGAGGTTGTCCCCAGGCCTAAACAACAGAGAATCCACCTTACGTCTCATGGATCTGCCAATCCATGGCGTTACCAATTCTAATATGGCGCCCAGCAACCCCAAAGTTATATTTTAGGTATAGTTTTAAGTGGAACTTCAGTGGATTTCGCTTCCTCGCTGAGAGGGGGAACGTTGCCATTGGGGTGAGTGAGAGATCGAAGCAAAAGATGAACAATGAAATAACTGAAACTCTCCCGAAAAGGTACTGAATCACGGTTCGGACCTCTGCGAGTGACTGTGTGTGTGTGTGTGTGTGTGTGTGTGTGTGTGTGTGTGTGTGTGTGTGTGTGTGTGTGTGTGTGTCGGTGGATGTTTTATAAGTGAACTCCAAAACAGTAATACAAATGTTTTGAATTAAAAGCTCAAATGTTTTGTACAAATTTGTGTATATTTTTTAAAAGACTTTGCTTACATTTTAACAGGTGTTTGTTCTTGCTGTTTCTATGCGACTCAGGTATTGTGTTTTTTTTTTTTTTTGTGACCTGTGCTATTGGTAGCTTAAACTAGTTAGTGGGATGACATCAGACATCACTATAGCAGACATGCACTAGTGATGTCTGCTATAGTGCCTCCGCCTCTATTGACCATCATAAGGCTTTGCCAAGTCCATTGATAAAATAGATTTTTCATTAATATATATATATATATATATATATATATATATATATATATATATATATATATATATATATATATATATATATATATGCCCAAGATTACCATCCGAGTGCCGGCGGGGAAGTGGTTCAAATAGCCTCGGCTATCACTTCCTTATTGTCCGGTCGTGTTGGTCAAGTGGATTAAGGCTTCCCTGTACATATATATATATATATATATATATATATATATATATATATATATATATATATATATATATATATATATATATATATAACTCATAAGCTGTATGTACACGCGAGCTATAAATCACTAGGAACTCTTTTTAACCCGACTGGGATTCGAACCCCGGCTGCCCAGGATCTGTGCGCCCGGTACTCTTGGAGCACAGAGTACCGTAATACCATCATTGGTCTACTGGTTATACATGGTACTCTCTGCGTACAAGAGGATGATCCTGGGGACGGGGGTTCGAATCCTGGACAGGTTTGAGCCATCTTCTATTTAGTTTTAACTTATATAAATGATTTGATGTTCTTGATTTAATGTAAAGTCTTATCAGCCCGTCAGATAAAACTGTGAAAATATCCACATTTCAGAAAATTCGGTTTCTTAGGCAATTATGCACAACTTAAAATAATCAATCTCTTTTTTTTTCCTCTCTCACTGTGTCTGTCTGTCTCTCATAAGTATCCACAAGTTAGGATATCTTCTCCTGGATATCTGGAACCTGCTATCTATGCCACAGTTATAACAAGGTTGTGTTATAATAAGCTATAACACTGAGGTGTTGTTAGTTGTTAACAACCGTAGCCTGGTGGATAGCGCGCAGGACTCGTAATTCTGTGGCGCGGGTTCGATTCCCGCACCAGGCAGAAACAAATGGGCAAAGTTTCTTTCAAAGTATTCTAGCAGTAAATAGGTACCTGGGAGTTAGTCAGCTCTCACGGGCTGCTTCCTGGGGGTGGAGACTAAAGCCCCGAAATCATCTCAAGATAACCTCAAGATAACCTTACTGCCTCCCCTCCCTTGTCCCCCCCCCTTTCTCACCTCCCCCCCCCCACCCCTCCTGTGTACCTGTACGGTAATTAGGCTTACAGTAATCTCCCTTCCCCCCCCCCTCGCTTACCTTTCTACGGACTCTAAGCTTACACATACGGATGGAAGATTAAGCCGTAAGCTTAACAAACCCAACCTTCTCCTGTCATGGGAAGCTTAAGGCAAGAAATCCGCCCAGTCGTGTAAGTTTATTGCACAATGCTATTCCACAGTTTTGTAAACTTACGTCACACTAAATAACACCTTTGTAAGCTTACGCCACACTAAATAACACCTTTGTAAGCTTACGCCACACTAAATAACACCTGTGTAAACTTACAAACCGACAAATTCCATTTCCGGTTGAACTTACAACGCAAAAAGTCCCTAATGTTCGCGCTTTTTAAGCTTACCAAGTAACGTGCTTCCTGCTTCCGTTTGTTAAACTTACGACACGACAATATTCGGTTCGTAAGCTTACGACTTAATCTTCCGCCCGTGTTGTAAGTTTAATGCATAATCTTCCACTCATGTTGTAAGTTTAATGCATAATCTTCCACCCATGTTGTAAGTTTAATGCATTATCTTCCACTCATGGTGTAAGTTTAATGCATAATCTTCCACTCATGTTGTAAGTTTAATGCATAATCTTCCACTCATGTTGTAAGTTTAATGCATAATCTTCCACTCATGGTGTAAGTTTAATGCATAATCTTCCACTCATGGTGTAAGTTTAATGCATAATCTTCCACTCATGTTGTAAGTTTAATGCATAATCTTCCACTCGTGTTGTAAGCTTAAGACAGAACTATCTCCTTGCCACTGCTGTAAGCCTAAGTACCTCCACTCACTCTAGAGGGTAAACTTACTACATATTAACCCCCCCCCCAACCTCCAGCTTGAAAGCGTAAGACAAATATCTCTCCAAGTCTTCCGGGCTTTAAGCTTACGGCCCAAGCTTCCTCCGTGTGTTGTAAGCTTAATGATCATCGACCCTGTGTGACTGGACTTACGGTCCAATCTTCCTTGTTGTTGTAAACTTACGCCATACTCTTCCCCCTCGTGTAGCAAGCTTACGACACTACAATCTGTTGGTGTTGTAAACTTACGACACTACAATCTGTTGGTGTTGTAAACTTACGACACTACAATCTGTTGGTGTTGTAAACTTACGACACTACAATCTGTTGGTGTTGTAAACTTACGACACTACAATCTGTTGGTGTTGTAAACTTACGACACTACAATCTGTTGGTGTTGTAAACTTACGACACTACAATCTGTTGGTGTTGTAAACTTACGACACTACAATCTGTTGGTGTTGTAAACTTACGACACTACAATCTGTTGGTGTTGTAAACTTACGACACTACAATCTGTTGGTGTTGTAAACTTACGACACTACAATCTGTTGGTGTTGTAAACTTAGAACACTCTTCCTAGTGTTGTAAGCTAATGGCACCACCATCTCCTCCCGGTGCTGTAAACTTACGACACAGTATTGTAAGTAAAATGCCAAGAATCTTTGACTCAAGCTGATTTAAGCTTCCGGCAATGAGTATTTTAGCACGTTGTAAGTTTAGGACGCAATACTTTCTTCCTCTAAAACATAAGCTTCCGACAATACATCTTCCCTTGTGTTGGTAAGCTTAAGGACATATAAGTTTACCGTCTCATGTCACGTGTTACTGTTGACAAACAAAGTTTACTCTCTCATGTCACGTGTTACTGTTGACAAACAAAGTTTTATCCTCTCCTGTCACGTGTTACTGTTGACAAACAAAGTTTACTCTCTCATGTCACGTGTTATTGTTGACAAACAAAGTTTACTCTCTCATGTCACGTGTTACTGTTGACAAACAAAGTTTTATCCTCTCCTGTCACGTGTTACTGTTGACAAACAAAGTTTACTCTCTCATGTCACGTGTTACTGTTGACAAACAAAGTTTTATCCTCTCATGTCACGTGTTACTGTTGACAAACAAAGTTTACTCTCTCATGTCACGTGTTACTGTTGACAAACAAAGTTTTATCCTCTCATGTCACGTGTTACTGTTGACAAACAAAGTTTACTCTCTCATGTCACGTGTTATTGTTGACAAACAAAGTTTACTCTCTCATGTCACGTGTTACTGTTGACAAACAAAGTTTTATCCTCTCATGTCACGTGTTACTGTTGACAAACAAAGTTTACTCTCTCATGTCACGTGTTACTGTTGACAAACAAAGTTTTATCCTCTCATGTCACGTGTTACTGTTGACAAACAAAGTTTACTCTCTCATGTCACGTGTTACTGTTGACAAACAAAGTTTTATCCTCTCATGTCACGTGTTACTGTTGACAAACAAAGTTTTATCCTCTCATGTCACGTGTTACTGTTGACAAACAAAGTTTTATCCTCTCATGTCACGTGTTACTGTTGACAAACAAAGTTTATCCTCTCATGTCACGTGTTTCTGTTGACAAACAAAGTTTACTCTCTCATGTCATGTGTTTCTGTTGACAAACAAAGTTTACTCTCTCATGTCACGTGTTTCTGTTGACAAACAAAGTTTATTCTCTCATGTCACGTGTTTCTGTTGACAAACAAAGTTTATTCTCTCATGTCACGTGTTTCTGTTGACAAACAAATCCCTACAGAAGACTCTCATTCATTTGTGTCCTCTCCACCTTCCGTAATAAGCGTAGGCCTACGGCAAATAACCATTTTTCTGGGCCTCTATTCTTCTCCATCCCCCCCCCCCCCGTCCATCTCTTTAAGCCTATATCAAACACACATTCATATAGGTCTCTATTCCTCATATGTTTATGTCAGACAAAATTAGTCTCTAAGGGGCCCCTGTATAAGCCTAAGGCATAAGCCACTATCCAGACCCCTACCCCCCCCCCTTAACATCGTCGTGTAGGCCTACTAAATTATGCTGGCTTACAACATGCCTATCCAGCCTACTCTAGGCCTACACCTCCCTATCCCTCTGGAGTACTGGAGTGGATATAATCCCGTATATGGGATAAAACGCCTTTGATAATTCAAGCCTTTCAAAAATATCTTAAACAAAAATTTAAATTCTGCAATTATTAAAAATATATTGAGGATTCCAAAAATATATCTATTAGTTTCTTTATGCAATTCAGCTAAACAAATTTAATTATCAAATAGAGTTAATATATTTCAGTCAAATGATATGAAAATCTGAGTCAGAATATTGTAGCGTTGAAATGGGATTGAACTCGCGTCTCTGGACGCCCAGAATATTATTGGTCAAAATCTCTCACAGGGCGAATTTCCAATTTGGTCAGCGACACATACCTGATTTTTGGTTCCTCTTAAATTATTAAAAATCTAAGTTTATATTATTATTTATTGTTTATATAATTATCATTGATATATCAATCAATCAATTGTATTGATTGTAACATAAAAATCCGTCCTAAGTAATATATATGTTTGGCGATTTTTTTTTTTTTAGATTTCTCAACTATGTTATGTTAATTTTTTTTAAACAATTAATAATATCAAATGCTTTTATACTATTTGTAATATTTATTTACTTTTCGCAATTACAATGAAATCACAATAACGTAATATCAATGGAAATCATTTTGAAGCGATGGAATGACTCGAACCTCCTGTTCTGGTGATAATAATTCCGATAATAATTTTTATTTAATTTTA